TTTCTAACATGCAGTCATACTTAACATTCAACAAACCCCTAGCCAGTTCAGGTAACCCAAATGTTCCAGCTGAAGCACACCTGGTGCAGCTAATGAAGCCCTTGATTAATTGGATCAGGTGTGCTTGAGACAACACCTGTTTTGCATATTTGTGCTGTAAAGAGGGGCTCTTTTCAGGGGTTTGAATAATTTTGAGACCGGAGACGTCATTATAAATTGCATTTTCAGTTGAATTTGAGAAAGTCACTTGCAGCATTAGTTGTGTTGAGCAATTTAAATTGCTTTTGATTTGTTCATTGCAAATAGCTGAAAGTCTGTAAAATTTGTCAATAAACCTGATTTTCAATGTGGGTTGAATAATTTTGATTACAACTGTAATTCGTGAAGAAAAATAATGGTAAAACAAAAGAAAATGTACTGCCCATTCCTCATGATAAAAATTCTACAATCTTTTAAATACTGACAAAATGGCATAGAAAAAATAAACATTAAAGCATAGTGATTTATAATCATTCCATAAACATATTTTCTTGCCTTTTCTTCCGAGAAAGCATTGATAAAACGGAGCAATGTACCAAAGCCTAAGTGCTATTCAATTTCTTTCAAAGAAAATTCATAAAATCACAAGTTTCATAAATTAGCACCTCTGGGGAATGGAGCTAAAAGCAGCATTTAGGGAAAAAAGAAAATTAAACTGTCACAAACATTTTAAATAAAAAAGAAAGGTGAATAAAGGCTTATGAACTTGCTGCCTCTTGCTAGGGTAAAAATCACTGGTCAACGAGATTTGCAGATTGCTTATCATTATTATTATTATTATTATAGCTATAGGAGCCATGACAACCAAAATGGCTGACCCATGGGAAATGCATTACAGTTTTGGGGAGCCGAGGCTGCCCATTACGTCACTTGTTCATATTTGTGTAACACTCTCTTATAGTTCACACAGTAACTCCCAGCATGTTTAGGGGTTGAATATTTAATCTGGACAATAGTGGGGTCATGTCGTAGATAAGCAGGGCCTACCTTATTTGTCAGTAACAGACACCTCTGTTTTTTCACTATTGTCAAGCCATATCTCCATAATGAACCCTGTGTGGGTCAAAACGTTGCCTGAAGTGATGTCACAGTAAAGGGACGCATTCAATTTTACATCAACTTGAAGCAGTTCTCTGCCTTTTTTTTCCATATTGTTGCAAAGAGGCTGATTTTGGCATTCAGCTTGTGGGATCTGGTTGATTGTTCGTACCCATCCTTTGCAGAGGCAGCTGGCGACTCGTGGTATTAGAGGCCACTGTTAGCCCAATGTGGCAGCTGTTGTAGTGGCTCATGCAGGTGCTGGAGTAAAGTAACTTTGCTCGTGGTAATACAGAGTCAGCGCATGTTACAAATGATTGGAATTTCTATTGTCACATTTACCTACACTACCTGTTTTTTGGTTGAGTACAAGAGCCGTGAGCAAAGGGTTAGCTATATGTTTAATTTTTGTGAAGTGAGCAATTTATTTATCAAAAGCCAGTTCATGCTTTTCGAAACCGGCATTGCCGCCCAAAAATCTGAAAGTGAGCCTGAGTTTTCAGACGTATCATTTTTGTGAAGGATTTTATTTTGTGCAGAGCACATCACACAACATTTGGTTTTTAGTTTTTATTTTATTTTTAAAACATCAAAGGATGGGGTAAGAAGAGCTGAGGTAAAATGAACTGACCCGGAAAAATTCTTTAAATCAGCCATAGTCCTAGCTGGGCTGTTTTTATCATTCAGAATGAATCAGTGGAAACCTAGAGTTAATAGGTGTAAAAGTCACTTATAGCATAAATCAGTCAATCTCTTACAGATACACTAATTTAACATTGTCTCAGTGTGATTATTAAAGGACCAATAAAGTCACCCAGACCACGTCTTCTCAGTGGGTGCAAAGGTCCTGTAGTTTTAACTCTTCAAATTAAAAAATTGCCATTTGTAGAAAAGGTAACGTTTACCTTTAAGGGTTAAACACACGTCTAGTTGGTGTCATAGTGACAAGCACTCGTGGCATTTCCTATTGAGCAATGAAGTAAAACTTGGTCATGTGATGTAAACATTGTGAAATGCAGCTCATAGGACAGCACCGAATTCATTGCTTTCCTGTGAGAAGCATTTGTTTGAATGCGCATGCAGCACTCGCTGCGCATGCTCATCACGTCTATTCACTTATATAGTAGTATTGGATTGGACGAACTCCACGGGTGTGACAAATCCACGTTGTGGTTGTGTGAGGTGGAAAGACTATCAGCAACAGGCTGATGTCCCTTGGCACTGGGTCGATGCTATGCCCCCTCCGATGTCCTGCAACAAGCAGGCTCTAAAGCGCATGTGCAACAAATGCATTGCATTGATTCAATGCTTTCCTACGGGTAAAAATGTGACACTGTCCAGCGTCAGATAACGGACCAAAGGTCCGTTTCAATCCAGGAGGCCCTCTTGTGGCTGACTGGTAGACAGCCACTGGGGGCAGCTTTAGAGCAGCAATGTAAACAGTTTCTCTGGAAGTGCAAAAGGGACACTGTACCCAGACCACTTCAATGAGCTGAAGTAGTCTGGATGTCTATAGTGTCCCTTTAATTCATTATTTAGATAATGCTTTAAAAATATGCTAAAGCAAAATTAGCAAAGCAACGGCAAACAGCAATGTCTCTTCTTTACTGGCTCTCATCCTTTTTTCTGCTAAATATGAAGGAAATAACATGAAACGCTCTCTTATATAATTATATGGCAGTAGCACTGAGCATGTGCAGGTGACATCACAAGAATACACACACAATGCCTACATGTGGACAGTCCATTTTGTTGCTTTCCTATGGAATTCATTTTGGCAAACGCAGTAATGGTGCAAGAATTGGCTCTCCCAATACTACTGCAAATGATAATAACTGGGAATTTCAAGGAAAAAGATGGAGCTAAATTGTAATAATCTGCAGATATATCTTTTTTTAATTTATTTAAAACTGTACAACTTACAACATGCATAGCAAGCCAGGTAAGTTACCTTTATATTAGCTTTAATATGCATTCAGGTTGCCTACGAGCCTGAAGTCTCCCTTTAATAAGAGGAAACGTGCAAAAAGAAAGCGTATATTTTACAATGTAGACATGGCTCCCTAGCCGTTCATTGAAATCACCCACAGCAAGTCTTGGGGTAAATCTCCTGTGAAGGCAATTCTCCGACCTGAGAACACATCACTGCACAGGCATCTGTATCCCTGGATAGCAGACAGTTACACAGCTGGCTCGGAAGCAAGTTATTTTCCAAGGGGAATATTACTGACGTACACAGTTTGTTCCAATACTTGCATGGCTTCCATTCCGGGGAGGGACATCACGTGCCCGATTTGCAGCTCCAACATTGCACACTGGAGCATACACTCGAAGGGCCTAGCAAGGCGTGCGTTAATTACCCACCATCAGAGACAAATACGTGAACGCATTGAATAAAATAGAGTTTTAATTATGGAGCTTTGAAATACAGTTTCCTTCCCCGGAGCTTAGAATTGAGTTTGTAAAGGATTTTACAACTTCACATAAAGGAGATTTAATTCACCGACGTGCCTCGATGTGGGAAATACATTGTACAATAATAATAATAATAATTAGTATAATTATTTAAATGTCATATTATACTAATGGAAATAGTGACAGCATATTTAATGCATTACACATAGATGCTTCCTCTGGGCACTGTAGGGTTAAACATATTTGTGTGGTACACTCTTGCTGTGTCAGGACAGCCAGGGCCGTCTTTAACATTGATTGGACACTGGGCAGGCATTTGTTTGGGCCCCCTGGATCCTGCCATCCCTCGCCCTCCCCCCACACTTTCACTCTCTGGCATGCAATCACGCCCTCCAACCCAACACAGTGGCAGAACTAATGTAGACAGGGCCCTGGTGCAAGACATTGTTTTGAGCCTTCCCTCTAGCGCAAGAGCAGAGAAAAGATAGATCCTCATCTGTTGTACAATTCCAACGATGCTATGCCAGCTGGGGATCTACCATTTGTCCATTTTTGCAGGGCTGTATTTGTGAGCAGTGTTTGTGCATTTGAATGTGAGCATGTTGTTGTATACAGTATGTGTGTGCATGTAGGGTGTAGTATTGGTGTTTAAGTGTAGGGATGTGTTTCCATATACTTTTTGAGTTTGAATTCAGGGGTGTGTTTGTATGTAATGTTTGCAGGGGTGTGGTTGCATGTTGTGTTTGATTGCCGTGATGTATGAATGTCAACATTCACAGATATACATACACATTAGCACACGGATACATGCACACATCTGGACACACTGACAAAGACTAGTGTATACACACACAGCCACATACATAAATACACGTGCACACACAGAGATAAAAACACTGGCACATCCACACACAGAGATACACACTTACACACACTGACACAGATATATACACAAATACATATGTATTTGTGTGCAGTGTTGGCGTAGGAATGCTGGGATGTATGCATTGTCACACAGATGCACTCTCACACAAACAGTGATACACACAGGAACACAGATACACATGCAGTGGTGTATTTGTGTGCATTGTTAATGTTGGAATGCAGGGTTGCATTTGTGTGCAATGTTAGCTGGGATGTATGAATTGCCCCACGCACAGATACACACTTACACATACTGACACTCATACACACACAGGTACATATAAACAGACAAGCAGGTACACATACAAACTGACACATAGGTATACATACACACAGATACACATAAACACTGACACAAAAGGTACATGTACACTGACACAAACACAGCCATATAAACACACACTGACACAAACAGCCAGATACACACTTACACACACAGTCAGATACAGACACACACACACACACACACACACAGTCAGACACAAACACAGCCAGATACAATCACAGCCAGCCAGATACACACACACACACACACACACACAGTGAGATATACACACACACACAGTGAGATACACACACATACAGCCAGATATACACACATACAGCCAGATACACACACAGTCAGATACACACACACACACACATACAGCCAGATACACATACACACATACAGCCAGATACACACACATACAGCCAGATACACACAGAGTCAGATACACACACACACACACATACAGCCAGATACACATACACACATACAGCCAGATACACACACATACAGCCAGATACACACACATACAGCCAGATACACACACACACATACAGCCAGATACACACACACACATACAGCCAGATATACACACATACAGCCAGATACACATACACACATACAGCCAGATACACATAAACACATACAGCCAGATACAAATACACACATACAGCCAGATACACACACATACAGCCAGATACACACACACACATACAGCCAGATACACATACACACATACAGTCAGATACACACACATACAGCCAGATACACACACATACAGCCAGATACACACACACACTGACACAAACACACACACACAGAGTCATATGAATTCACATAGTTTAGCCACCCTCCTTACCTCTACAGAAGTGTGGCTTCCCTGTGGTCCAGTGGGAGCTGGATGGCTGAGATTGATGGGAGTCTGCTTGTTATTGGTCTGTACCTCCTCCATGTATGTCTCCTCCTCCCCAGGGGCACTCTGTTAATTGGGAGGAAGTGACCTCACAACACTTCCTCCCAGCAGGCATACAGACAGGGGCCCGGTCTGCAGCTCTCTTAAAGGGCCGGGGGCCCCTGATTACCTCACCTACTGCAGCCCACCGGGATATTTCTCAGTATCCCGGTGGGCTGTTCAGACCTGGCTGCAGGCAGGGGGCCCACAGGGCAGCTGCTTTGGGCCCCCCAGGAGCAACTGGGCCCGGGGCAGCTGCCCTGTTTGCCCCTTGTTAAAGACGGCCCTGATGGTGACTAAAATCACAATACCATTACCTAACACTTTATCTTCTAGCGACACCACTCTAATAAACTCAATATATCATTGGATGATGTCAAGTGGAACACATATCAGACATTAGCCTGGCTAGGCTAGAATTTTGGTAACCCAAACATGGTTTGACATGCCCTGCCTTGACTCTAATATGAACCTTTTTGACTGTGTTTGATTCTCTATGGACTGCCATTGCCTCTATTAGCTCCTTTAGGAGTCAGTTGACAAAGGAATGAGCTTAGTCTAAACAGGTTAAGGTTCTGATGTCATAATTGTGTGTCCATCCATTGGTTCCAGGACAAGTGCATGCACTGATGCAGATATACAATCACAGACTGTGAGAGCCAAAATAGAGTATCCTGTATGTGATCCATAAAAGCTGCAGAGTTCCATTGTCTTGTCTCATCATTCAGACTGATTGGCACAAGAGACAGTCAATCACTTTACTTGTTCTGCTCATATCCCCCATAATGACTTTCATATTAATACCTGTAGTATTCATTGATGTGATGCTGTAATGTCCATCAGACCTAACCACAGCCACCTATTGTTATTATCATTCATTTAAAAAAATAAAAAAGTAATAGCATATTCTGCTATGTTACAAAGTGGGTAAATCAAACAAGTCAAATATGTATAATTCAGGGATAGAAAAATAATCTAGGCATCAGGTAACAAAGGCCTTGTTTAAACTTGGAGAAGTGTGTTTTTCATTAAAATAAAACAGGCGGGGAAGACCATGGATTCTGCTCTGAAAATGGAACGTAAAAAAAAAAAAACTCATAGCACCATAACCATTTCAATGAGCTGTGATGGATCTGGCGCTTAGAGTGCCCACTTAAATTAGTAGGGAGCTATAGCACATCAAAATGTTACAGATGTGCCATAGTACCCAGGGCCACCATCAGGGCATGATAAATGTAACAGTTGTCACGGGCAAAGCGGTCCTGGGGGGCCCAGACTAGGGCTTCCGTCAGGGGTATACACCAGGCCACCAGGGGGGCCAGTGAGCTGGGTCCTATATCCTTAGTGGCCCAGGGCCCTTACATACACACAGAGTCGGTCAGAGAGTTCAAAGATATCCCTTCCTGGATCTTTGCAGAGTTTGAGCATCAGGAAAGGGGCAGGAGGATCTCAACCTTCACCTCTGCGGCAGGCCAAGTCAAGGCAGAACTGCAGAGGTGATGGTTGAGAGCCTCTACAGGGCCACCGGACCAGCAGGAAATATGCTGTCTGCACTTCCTGGACGCAGGTAAGAAACAGGGAGGGGGAATAAAAAATTTAATTTACAAAATAAATATAGTAACAAATATGAAAAGCTGCTCCCCTCTCAGCCACCCAAACACTCAGCTCCTTCTACTACCCCACAAACACTCTTTCACACTACACAAACACAGAAACACACAATACATTCCTTACACACACACACACAATGCATCCACCCATTGACGTCCTGCTTCACTGGACATTGCTGTTAGGGGTTATGGATTTACTTGAAAGATGAAAGCATGAATTAGATAAAGAGATTAGCATAGGGTATGTGTTTTCTTATAGCTGCATCCTATGAGTTTCCCTCCAGCACCATCTCCATCAGATACATGACGCTTGGGAGGTATGACTGTTTTAGTGTTTTTGGTCGATAAGATTCTGTAATTAGGCCCATCATAATTGTCAGCACCAGGCCCACTGGGCTCTTAATCTGGCCCTGCATTACAATAACACACTCTGCTGCCTGTGAGTGGACTCATGGGCCTGCCTTGTGGGCAGACTGCGGGGCGGGCCCTGGGGCCCAGGGCCTTGAGCTATGTAAATGGCCTTACAATATCTGATGGCAGCCCTCATAGTACCATATTTAGAATTCTATGGGTGACCAAGTTTCCTAATGGGAACCCAATCCCAAAAAACACTTTTGGTCCTGTTTTTGGGGTGAGATGGAATGTGACAGTATGCCATTAAACTGTAATAATTGCTGCTTTGTTCTTTACTGGATACACAATGACACAGGTGCTATTCTGTAAAGCAATTATATTTTTTCCATGAAATTTATTTAAGCTTGTGTGTCTGTGAAGCAGGCAGCCATCTGCAATGTGTTGTGTTTAAAAGGTCATCAGTAGCCAAAATGTAGTTTGTCATTGTGCTTCGCCTAATTAATGGTTCTAATAACTAAAAAATGTATGTAAAGGTGGGATGCTAGCACATTTGTAACAATTTTCTGCTTTGTAATGTGCCATTGAGATTAAATGGCATGTAATTACAGCCCACACAGATTCTGACAGCTGCACATTCGAAAGGAGGGGTGCGTGGTGGTTTAGATGTGTATATATATAAAATTACAGTACCTTGTGACAGGAGTGACTGATGATGTAATGATATTCTACTATCACTTTACTGTTTGTGCCGCTCATCTGTGTTGTTGGGGTTAATACCGCCTAGTACTCATATTGACACCTGGAAAAGAGAAATTCTCACATCACAAACCAGACTAAATGAGTTTAAAGGGACAGTATAGTCATCAAATAACGTTAGCATAACCCCTTAAGGATGATCCCATGTCGGCAGCCGCAATCCGGGGGGCTGCCTGGGAGCCCAGGCAACCCCCTTCTGCATGAAGGGGTCCTTGTGACCACATGGCCGGAATCGGAATAGCATGCAGGGGGACTGCCTGAGCTCTCAGCTGTCCCCCCGCTGCCTGTAAAAAATGTTTTAAATGTTAGTATAAGTTAAAAAAGTTTAACAAAGTAAATTAAAGTACTTAGATCATATATATATATATATATATATATATATATATAAAATCTATGTATATGATCTAAATACTTTTATATGCACATACACGCCCATAAACTATTATTCTAAATGTATTTTAATATTAATATGTATATATATATATATATATATATATATATATATATATATTAATAATAAAATACACTTACACACTTATTAATACACGTATTAAATTTCTTATTGATTATTTTATATATATATATATATAGATATATATGTATATATATATCTATATATATATATATATATATATCATATAAATAATCAATAAGAAAATTGAAAACAATAAAAAAACTAAATAAAAAAAATGGAATGAAAAAAATTTATATACCTGTATACTTTTGCTCTAACTGTATTTTGATATTAATAAACATATATATTTAAATCAAAATACATTTAGAATGATGTTATAAATACATATATGAATCTATATATATATATATATATATATATATATATATATATATAAATAATATTAAAATAAATATATATAAAAAGAATATTAAAAGAAATATATATATATATATATATATATTTCTTTTTATATATATTTAAATTCTACATATATATTTGTATAATATTTTTACATGATTAAGTCATTTCATTAATTACAATTTGAGGGACTTGCCGGACAACCCAGGCAGAAAGTCCAGAGAATATGGTTCGCAAGCCCTATATTTAACCCTTTAACTTTCCAAGACACCATAAAACCTGTACATAGGGGGTACTGTTTCACTCGGGAGACTTTGCCGAACACAAATATTAGTGTTTCAAAACTGTAAAACATATCACAACAATGATATTGTCTGTGAAAGTGCAGTGTTTTGCATTTTTCACACACAAACGAAATTCTAACTGACGATATAATTGTTGTGATAAGTTGTAATGTTTGGAAACACTAATATTTGTGTTTAGCAAAGTCTCTCGGGTATAACAGTATCCACCAGATTTTATGGTGTTTTCAAAAGTTACAGAGTGTAATATAAGACTTGCATTTCCATTTTTTCACATTAAAATTCGCCAGATTGGTTATGTTGCATTTGAGACCGTATGGTAGCCCAGGAATGAAAATTACCCCCATGATGGCATACCATCTGCAAAAGTAGATAACCCAAGGTATTACAAATGGGGTATGTCCAGTCTTTTTTAGTAGCCATTTAGTCCCAAACACTGGCCATAATTAGCGTTCAAATCATTTTTTTGCATTTTTCACACACGTACAAATTAGAATGCTAACTTTGACCAGTGTTTGTGACTAAGTGGCTACTAAAAAAGACTGGACATACCCCATATTGAATACCTTGGGTTGTCTAGTTTTGCAAATGGTATGCCATCATGGGGGTAATTCTCATTCCTGGGCTACCATACGGTCTCAAAGGCAGCATAACCAATCTGGCAAATTTCAATATGTATAAACTAAAAAATGTAATGTGCTACATTTGACCCTCTAACTTTCCAGACCACTATAAAACCTGTACTTAGTGGGGGGGGGC